ATTTTGTTGACTTTCATGGGAGCTATATATCTTTGTAAATAAATAGCAGAAGCACAATTGTTTCATCTTTATACATTGTGTATACACTTTTTGTTGGTGCCTTTTAATACACTTGCTATCTTTACTTATATTAAAAAGAAAAAGAAAAAGAAAATTGAATCACGCCACTCCATATTGGTGAACTTTTTTTAATTCTAGTTGCACGCGATCAAACCGTCTTGAACAATTTTGTCATTTTGTCTTCAATTGGTTCAACTTTTAATGATAACAAATTTGTTTATTTTTATTTTTATTATCTTTTAACATCACTCATCCACTCTCAGCTACAATCATTTTCACAACATTCTATTTCTGAACTGCTTAACATCTTGCACCATACAACATAACTAATTTTAAGCTATCGCATAGAGCTTACCTTCAATTATACGACACTTGTGAAGTACTTTTCCATTTTATGGGTAACTACTAAGATCGTCTTCATTTTTGCATTTCATACCACACCCGTGAAGTACTTTTCCACTTTATCCATCGTGCTCATAATGTATGGGCAGCATCCCCTTCATTCTTCTATTTCACATAGATGAAGATTCCAAGATATCAGAAATGGTCCTCTTCCTCTTACTCTCTTTTCCTGATTGTGTCATGAGATGTGACGATGACATTTTATATTGTCGATCTACTAACCTCAGCCCTCCTTTCTCCTGGCTGTGACCAGCTAGCCACATGGAGGATAAGACATGAATCATGACACTATCAAAGTCAATTTTAAGGGGTTAACAGAGTGAAGGATACTTAGCATGATCATATTTTCCAAGACCTTTACACCTTTCCCCCAAAAAAGAAAAAAATGTTCCAAGGCCTTACAGTGATGAGCAGATCTGTTGATTTTCAACTCTGGTACTGAACTTACAATCAAGTAATTACTCTGTTTTTCTTCTCTATATTATAGATTTCTGATTGTCAGACATGAATTATGTAACAACACAAGTCTGAAGAGGAAATATAAATTGAGATGCACCATTTTCTATATTACTGCTTATATATGCTCTGTTTAGGCACTCGATATTATGTGTTACTGCTTAAAATAAGTACTTTCATGTGGATGCATCTTAGTGACCTATGTCAGTTGAGCTTCCCAAGCGGCCTGGTCAAGGCTAACTCTTCATGTCTTTTTGTTTCCCAAGAAGTTGGTGGGGGCTGAAGCTTTACAAGGGAAACGTGTGAAAAAAGAAATGAATTCAGGTAATGACTGAAATATGAAGTTACATAGGGATATATCTCTCATATTAAACAAAATTTCATAGTATTTATAGCTGACAAAGAATTGTTGATAATGCTAAGCCTGTTGTCTACATGATTGTGAAATATGTATTTGTTTGTTTAATGTTGAATGTAGATTACTATGTTACACAAAAGTGAGCGTAGTCCGAAGTCCTCATTGTAAGGGTGTCAGAGTTGTCTCATAACTTATCTTATTGCAAAGTTCATTTTTCCAAGCCTTTGTTCATATTTTAAGCTGGTATGGCCTTTCAAAGTGCTTCCAGATATCAAGAGCTTTCTGGGACAGTTGACTGCTAGAACAGAGGAGACCTTTGCAACCACCATCTTGTACATGGGCCCTATGCTTAGTTTGTCAGAGGTTGTCTACTTTTCAGGGGATTAGTTAGGTGGCCTTTCTGAGATTTCGTCTTTTTAGGATTCCTATTTCCATGTTCAGGGGAAGAGGAGGGATTATATGGTGTTTTTGTACTTTGGTGGCTATGATTTTGATCATGTTGGTTGAAATGAGCAATAGTGTTTGCTTCAAAAGTTGGGCTATGGAATCAATCTGGATGATAGTCTAATAGAGTAATTCTCATGGACTCCAGTCAATTGAAAACAGTTCGACAGCATATGTTGGTATAATGTTTTGGAGCTGATTTTATGTGAGTTTGAAATATAGAATGAGATCATGTAGAAGCAAGATGAACCTGACATCATCAATTGAGTATATCGGAAGCACACCCATTTGACTGGCACAGCAACTATGCGTGACTAAATATATGCTCTCATGTGCACAAAAACTTGTGGAAAGGTTACCTACTTTTGCTGCTAAAAAGTGTATAATTGATGTGTGAAGCTAAATTATGCTTTGAACATAACCTCACGCCTCTATCATCAGTCGTGCATGAAGTGTTTATGTTCATAGTGCAATGAACCATTTGGTTTGGGCGAGAATCAGCGTGTAACCTTGCATGAATACCAGAATTCAAGACTTTGATGAGGTTTGGTGTCAATATACCGAAGTGGCATTGTTTTAATAAGGCTATTTGGAAAAATAGATAGATAAATGATCCGGAGGAAATATATTCATGTCTCTCATGTCCAAGCAAATCAGATTCCATGGTTGAGAGAATTTAAACCATGAGATTACGTTATCAGAATTCATATTAGAAATATTATGCTCTGTTTCCTTCCTTGCATTTACTTTATTTTTTTCTTGGAGATGCAAAGATTTTATAGAATGAGTCACACAATCATGGAATTTGAACCAAATTTATAGGTTTTATGCTCTTCTAGATCCTGTGATTTCCTTGGCCTTCTATAAAATTTAACTTTTTTAGTCATATGGGAGAGCAGAGGCTTGGCAAATATCATGAAAAATAGATGGACACATCAAATGCTAGAAGACAGCGCATTGTTTCTATATCAAAGCTAATCGAAACTGTGTCCTGATTAAGGGAAAAAATTGTAGTGACAAGTTCATGTCAGCTGGTATATGCTTCTTTGTTTCTAAGATGTACTGTATTGGACTATGTTAATTTCAGTAATATATTTTGAACTTCTCAATTTAGAGTAGGCATGTGAGTTTGGATTAAACATTGGTCAATTTGAAGTGGATTTAACGATGGAATTTTATGGTAACCTCTGAGGGTTGCCCTCACAAGTTCCGTAGGCATTATGTTTTGATCTGAGATAGAAAGATGGAGTTCAAACTTCAAAATGATATAATACGATCACGTATTATGTTTTGATCTGAGATAGAAAGATGCTTTATCTTTTGTATTGTTGAAAATTGCTTCCACAATCTGCATCTGAGAGGTTAATTTAGAATAAAGGATCTATTCCTATGTTTTTCCTTGAGAGATTTTTGAAACAAATGGTCATTTGAACACCTCCTTTACGGCACTTGTTAGTAAAACCTTATATTGCATTTATAAAAGATGCCTATCATTCTCAAAAGGTAGACAAGATTTGTGGTAATTTTGACGAATTGACTTTTACTAAAGATAAGGGCGGTTGCCTTAGCCATGATCAGGTTGAACATGTGATTGAATATGAAAGAATTGACTAATGGAAGCAAGGAAATTGATTCTATGATGGTGGAGATTGGCAAGAATAGGGAGGTCTCAAAGAAATGAAGGGGAAAATCATCCTCAAGGAAGGAAATGGAGTTATGATGATCATAGGAAGAGAGGATCCGGAGCAAAGAGATGTGAAGGATATGGGTGGCTGTTTGGTTAAGGATAGTTTATTTTTCCCAAGAATCCGGTCAGTGCTCTTTTTTTCTTTATGGAATATTTTGAGAGGATATTCAAGGGGGGGAGCATCCAGATATCACTTCTGCTATGCTTATTGGTAAAGTTGGTGGAGCTAAATGGAAATCAATGTCAGATTCCAAGAGCACTTTTGTGAAGTGGGCACTATATTGATGCTTTTTAGAAGATGGGTTTTGTTTTGTTGCTTTTGGTTTGTAGTCAAGAGTGTTGAATCTTTCTTATGTACTTTTTCTTGATTGTATATGCGTTGTGTCCCCTCGGCACATTTGCTAATACAATTTTCTTTGTTGCTTATAAAAAAAAGAAAAAAATGTATAATTTAACTTGGTTAAAAATTCTTTGAAAAGAAACCTATAGTTAAAGAAGTTAAACGTCTACAGCTTACTTTTCCATATTGTATCTGCGCTACATTAATAACAATCACATCTTATACAAATTATTGTTGACAAGCATGTTTCTTTTAAAACAAATATAAAGGTCCTCAGCTATTTCAAGTATGATTCACTTCATTTCACATTGGTGTAGGTTAGTCTATGCGTAAAACATTGGCAGGTTTAATAAATTTTATATGCTGATTAATTTACACAATCATTTTTCCTTTTCCACGTTCTGAGTGTCTTTTAGATTTTACAGTATTTTCTATTCCATGTTCTGTTTATCCTTGTATAAGACACTGTGGCAGCTGAGAATAATAAATTAATATGGAATGCGAGTTGTATATTTATTTCTGCTTTATTCTCAAAGAAAAGAAGAAAACAAAAGTCATATATGATTGAAGTCCATGTCTTGATTTTCATCTCACCTTGATATCGAGATGACCGAAGAGAGTTGAGCTGTTGCATGAAGGTTGGTGGACCAACTGGTTATCTAGTGGCCTATGGTCAAGCAGGATAGCTAAATAAGAATATTTATTGGTAAATTACACTAACCTCCTTTAAAGTTTAAAGAAAATACATTGAGTTACACAAGTTTGACGTAATTACACTGGGCTCCCTTAAAGTTTCAATTCATATATTACTTAGCTCCTTTTTATCATTAATTCTTAGTCGGATCGGTGAAAAAGGTTATATTGTCATCTCGTTGACATTGAAATGTATATTTTACATTTGTTTATGTCAGTGTAATTATACCAAATTTGTAGGGTTTATTGTATTTTTGTTAAATCTCAAGGGTGATCAGTGTAATTTACCCAATATTTTATTTATCTCAAAAAATGCATGTGACTGACTCCAGATATGCGTTTGTGTACTGTGGACAGTATCTATTTTTCATATTATTTTTTTCTCCCATATTATGTTCAGAGATTTAGTTTACTTTGTATACATTTACTTAAATCATCCTTTCTCATTCATTTTACAACCCTAAGTTTCAATACTGTAAAGCCTGCTTTCTGAAATTTCTTTTCTTGTTTCTTTTTCGAGAGAATCGAATTGTATAACGCATAGTTGTATTTACCTGCAGTTCATGCCCAAGAAAGGAGGTACCCCTAAGAAGAATGAGATTGTATTCACCTCCCCAACGGGGGAGGAGATCACAAACAGAAAACAATTGGAACAATACCTGAAATCGCACCCTGGTGGTCCCGCAATATCCAAGTTTGATTGGGGGACCGGTGAAACTCCAAGGAGATCAGCCCGGATTAGTGAGAAAGCAAAGACAACTCCACCACTGGAGATTGAGCCTCCAAAGAAGCGTAGCAAGAAATCTTCTGCTTCAAAGAAGGATGATAACAAAGAAAAAGAAGTCGGTCCTGAAGAAACCGAGGTGGTGAAAGAAGTTGACCAGCAAGATGGAGATAAAACTGAGAAGGGTAATGCAGCTAAAGAAATCGAGAAGGATGTTGTGGAGGAAAATCAAGATCAGAAGAACAAAGACAAAACGCATGGTCTGGAACCAGAAGAAGCTAAGCTTGGAGACGATGACATTAAAATGCCTGATGCTGAAGAGTGCAAGAAGGATGGAGAAGCAAAACAGGGTAATTCAAAAGAGGCTCAGGTTGGAAAAGTGGCTGACGGTTCTGAAGTAACTCAAAATGATAAGGGAAAAGTGGAGGATACAGATGTTCACGAAAAGGTGGAGCAAACATCACTCGAAGCTGAGAAACCGGATACGGCCATTGTTGAGGAAAAGTGCCAAATGGAAGGACAGGAGAAAGCAGACCAGACAAGTAATGAGAAAGAAGCGACAGAGAAGAAAATTGAGGAACAAAATACATTGATGGACAATGAGGTAAGCAAGAAGGCAGAGGGAGAAGTGATTGAGAATGGCAGCCATGTCGGCAAGGCTGGTGGCTCCGAGCCTCAAGTTACAATGTAGATTAATTTGGTGCAGGTCCCTTTGGATGACTGTAGTATAACTGTTGCTTTATGATAGAATTTCTGATTGTTCATGAAGACATATGTATTTAAAATCATAGATTAGGCCTTGTCTGCTCCAGCTTTCGTTCCGTCAAAGTGACACATAGCATGCAGAGATCGATCTTTGTAACATTACTACTATCTTATGACGTAGATTAGGGCTTCAATGCTGGTGAACTTGTAGCTTGCAGAGATCTATGTGACAATTTAGTGTTGAAACTGGTATTGTAATAATAAGTGGTTATGCATTAGCTTACTGATCCTATTAGCCTCCTTTGAGTTTGTTTTATCCAGCATTGGTGTGATTTGCACTTCGGATGCGTGACAAATTTTGACCAGGTTCAGATGGGACTAAGAAATTAGTTGCCTTTTCGCCCAGAGGGTTTCTTGCATTGCAAATATCTTTCTTAGCTGAGAAAATGGAAGAAAATGAAGGAAAATATTGTCATGACCATATGGATTGTGTGTGGTTGTCAAAGTGTGAAGCCCCAAATTAACTCTTCATTGTCTGCATCTTACATACCCAATTGTAGCCAAATGTTCTAGGGGATTTGCCACTTCCAAGAGCATTGTAAGATGGAAAGCTATCTTTCCTGCTTCCGCCATGCAAATCTCAATTTGTTGAATTTGGGGTTCCAATAACTAGGGTTGCAAATGAAGCGAGTCGAACTAAGTTTTTCTAGGCTTGAGCTTAGCTCATTTATTTATCGAACTTGATTATCCAGCTCAAGATCAATCGAAGTTCGATAATGAATTTTTTTTACAATTATTTATATTATTAAATATATTAGTTTTAAATAAAAATATTACTTATATTATTTAATATATAAATAATATATTTATTTCATAATTTAAATAAAGATAAACGAATCAAGCTTGACAAGTTAAGCTTATTCGAGTTCGAGCTCAACTCGTTTATTAAACGAGTTTAAAAGTTAGGCTCAATCTCATTTATTTACTTAACAAATCAAGTCGAGCCCTTAAAGAGCTGAGCTTACAAATAGTTCGGTATATTTATGACCCTACCAATAACTATCAACGTCAACACTAAAAGTAAATCACTTTTCCCTTCATTTATCCAGGCCTCACATTCTTCTTTGACGGACGATTTCTCCAACTTCACTATTAAAGTTAGAATCACAAATTCAACAAATTAAGATTCTCGCATGGTAACATTTAGGCCATAACTAAAATGTAGTCACATGGTTTAATACTATGTTTGGAGAGGAAGATGAAAATAAAACGAATAAATAATTGTCTTTTCTCTAGATCAAAACATAGGATAATTGGAATAACAAGAAACTTAGATTAATTTCCGAACAAATTGAAAAAAAAATTGGTATGAAAAAAGGAATAATTACAAAATAAGGGAAATCTAAAATAATTGTATCAGATATGGAAACTTAATTTTTTTTTTTTTTTTTGGCTTTTGGGGGAATTATGTGTCAATGATACTTGGGGAAAAAAATTTTATTGGATAGTCGAAAGTTTTTTCAAATTTCAACTAGAATAGTTAGGTACAAACAGAGATAATTCTACTTACACAACCATTTGGTTTCCTTACACCCATTTTCTCATTACAATCAATCAAATTTTCACTTTTTCTCTATTACACTTTTCAATATACCAATTTTACGCCATCTTCAACCCCACATTCTCTCTTTACACACCCATTTTCATCTGTCTCCTCCACTTTTCTCTTCTTCTTTCTGCCATTGCTATCATCGGCCACCGCTATTATCACCTTCAGTAGTCAAACCTTAACTCTTCATCCATCTCTTACCACTACCCCTACAACCTTCGACTATCACAACTATAGCAGCTTGGGTTAGACTTGACCCTTTCTTATTTCTAGATTCGGAATCCGATACTCTTTATCGTTTTCTATACTCCACCTTATCTTGTTATTTGGATTTGGTTGTTTGGAGTTGTTGGTTGTGTCTCGAACAGGTTGGGAGTTAGTTTTTTTTCAAAATAATTGTTGCATGTTTTTTTTCTTGTTCACTCGAGTGGTGTTTTGGTTGCTCGAGCAGTCTTTGGGTTCTCTTAATACTTTTGTAGGTCTGCAAAACTACTAGGAGTAGGGTGATCTTTGCTTGAGCAGTCCTTTCTTCGCTGGAGCGGTCTTCTGTAGTCTGCAAAACTTCTAGGAGGGGGTCCTTATGATCTCGAGCTGTGTTTCGGTCACTTAAGCGGTGTTATTTTCTTGTGACTGACACTCGAGCAGTGGGTCAGTCATTCTTGCAATTTGTGCATCTATCAGATCAGGGACAAGTCACTTTATGTCACTTTTTCATCTCTCTCTCTTTCTCTCTAAAACACCCCTAAACCTAAATTTTCCACTCTCTTTCTCTAGTTCTTGTTTAAACACCTCAAATACACCCAAATCCGTTGATTTCGTTGCCTTAGTGCTTTGGAGTAAAGTGTATAGCTCATAAAGATGAACGTTTTAATCAGAGAAACTTCTATTTTTAACTTCATCTAGAGTTGGGCCTCGCTTCATTCTTCTTCTACTCTTGAGGTAGGGACTTCTTCAACCTCCTTGTATGATTCTTAGCTTCGTTATGTGTTTCTTGCAAAGTATTGTGATTTGAGAGTTAGGGGTTTGACTTAGGGTTTAGATTTTGTAATGTAAAATACGGGTTTTCAAATGGGTTCTTGATAATGATTATATTGTTGTGTTAAAAATAGTGGAAAATTCTTCTTTAAAAGTATTTTTGAAAGAAAAGTGTTTTATTGGAAATCATGTTTGGTTTTGGTTTTCAAAAAATTCTACTTTTTTATTTTTGTATTTTAAATGTTTTCAATGAATTTTTTATAATATTTTAAGCATTTTTTTTTTAATTTTTAGACACACTTAACATAAATACACTTAAAAAGTATAATATTTGTGAAGAAAATCTTTAAAAAATGCACTAAATACCAAGGGAAAAAAATACAAAAATTCAATAAATTTATCGTATTTTTGTGTATTTATTAATCTTTTAAAATATTTTACTATTTAGATACATCTAATTAAGGTGCATCTTAAAAAGAAAAAAAATTGCCTAAAATTTTAAAAATATTCATTAAAAAAAAAACACGAAAAATACAAAACACAATTTTCAGAAAACTGAAACCAAACATTTGTGTTTGAACTATGAACAGAAGGGGAAGATGTTGAGTTTTGAAAATGAAATGACTGTATCTGTTGATGATGAGAGTGGAGTGGAATATGTAATAACACTCCCATTTCAAAATTTATGAAATTATAATTATTGTTGGCGATTTATCTTTCGTATAGAGATATCTGTTTTGGGGTATCAATGGATGATGACTTTGATTGTTGTAGAAATTACATGAGGATTAGGTTAGTTGAAGATCATTTATTCATATATCTTGCATTGAACATTGTTTCATATATAATTACATATAGAAAATTGTATCATTTTTATGGAAAAATTGATGAATACCTTTGTGAATCTGGTTAGAGTGTGTGGTTGTGGTTTTATTATGCTGGCTTGTGTGTCCTTGGTGAAAGTCTAGAAACCCGCGCGGTTGGGTGCCGATCCTTCTAGTTAATACCGGTAAGATGGCTTTGGTAGTGCTTGTATAGCCCACTGGTAGACACGTATCTAGAGATTCCAGTGTTTTGTATCAACTGCCCTATTTTTTGATTTAAAAAGTATTGTTTTATGAATTGATATATACATATAATTGAGGCATTGCATTGCTTTGAAATAGAAAGTATAATGTTATGGTAAATGGAATGTATGTGCATTCACCATATGACTTTGTTAAGCTTCATACGTTGTGTTCAAGTATCTCTACTAGGCTTTAGCTCACCCTATATGGAAAACAATTTTCAAGGGCTGATGGTATGCCTCCACCACGGAAGTAGCTTGGAAGGACCTTGGAGCTGAGAGCTTCTTTTGTTCTTTTGTGTAAATATTTGTTGTATAAGCCTTGGGTTTTATATATATGGAGTTTAACTCATTTTGTTGTACCTAAGTATTGACTTGGAAAGATGTAGCCATTAAGGCATTACCTTATTTATACTTCCTTTTGTTCATTTGATTATTACATGTCATATGCTATAGATTCAAGATCTAAGATTTATGAATGTATACATGCATATATCATCTTTTGTACGGTAAATGTTAACATTATGGATGTTTATGCTTTTTCATTGAATATTATGAAGTAAGTTGTTGTTATTATATTGGGGCATTACAACAACCACCACTCTTGCTACCGCGATCTCCTCTCTTTTTCTTATTCTTCTTCTTTTCCTGCTGCCATGATCCCTTTCTCGATGCCTGTAATAACCCTCACCACTGCTTACCGATAAACACTGATTACCGTTAAACTGAACTGATTATGACTGATAACTGAACTGATAATAATCTGCTTAAAGTACTGAACTGACTGACTGAAAACCGGAACTGAATTGACTGAGTATGTATGTTAATTTGCATTCTATCTGTGGATTGATTATTTGATCTGTTTGTGTTTTATGTTTAAACCGTTAATGGAAGGCCTTATCGGCGGCCGAATCCGGAAGTGATTGAGGTTTTATGATCATCATAATTTATGTGATTTTACGGTATATTTATCTGAAAACTGCTTAGGTATGATTAAATTAGATTAAATATTGACTTAATGCAAGGTTGCACTTATTTACCATTTTGCCATGGTGAGTGGCCACTACCTATACATCTTTGAGCTCATTACACATAACCAAAACATTTGCTCAGCCTTTTCTCTTGAGTGTATAGCCGACCATGAGAGGGAGAGAGTGAGAGAATTTGGATTTCATCTTGAATTGCTTGGTAATTGAAGTGTAGATTGCTACTTTGAGCTCCCAAACCTTGAATACAAGACTAAGGTAGGACATTCATCTTCTTGCTGTTGTCATAGAATTGATTCTTGCATGATTCATGCTTCAATTGTAGAGTTAAGTCTTGGTTTAGTTCATACATGTTGATATAGAGCTCATTTCATGCTTGCATGTTTAAATTGTTGAGTTTTGAGTTGAATTCATGGTAAAATGGTACATGCATGTCCATAATTTTGTAATGGTCCATGTTTTCAACTTGTTTTTGGATCAATTGGCTCCTTAGAGCATCAAATTGGAACTTCAAAATGATTTAAATTCATGCATGTTTGCATGTTCATATTGTTCTTGAAAATGGTTTGAAATTGGATTTGAATTAAACACCCTTGGGCTTTGATTTCTTAAAATTGAGCTTTGAACCATGTCATTCTGTATGCTTACAAGTGTTTTCTGGAAA